AACGAGGAAATATCAATTTTCAACACGCCGTATTAGCAAATAAAATGACAGCCCAGTGCGTATTCGATTCATGGCTGCCCAGGCTTGACAATCTTATGAGCGACGGGTAATGCAAGTGTTTTTGTTGCTAGATTCTCGATTATTATTATTAAAACAAGTCATAAGGTGAACTCGTTCTTCGAATGAACCTTAATAAGAAGAATTATATTTCCTTGCAGTTCCTAACTTCTTCCAATTTTCTAATAAACTGGTACTTAAGAAGGCGCTAGTATCACTGGTGAGCCAAATTTCCTCATTATACGTAATAACTTGGACTTTCATTTTAAGTAAAGGGAAGGCAACCCCGTGTGTTTATGTTCAGGAAACATGCACAGATCAGTAGTATGCATGCGAGGACATTGATAAAATCGTTCGTATCGTATAAATGCTCGGATTTTTGAATTAAAATATGTGAAATAAAGAAGTTAAATCTAAGAATACGGTTTCTTACCATGTCTGGCTTCGGATACACTAATGGCCATTGCGTGTCAAAGTACAGAAAAATATTCTGTGTAGCATAAACCTGCGAGGAAAGAAAACATAGACAAACAAAAAAACTCAGTTATGGATCGGAAGTAGAAGTTTTTATCACTTACTGTAACAGCTTAGCGCCAGCAGAGTTTGTTTCCTTCAGTTTGCTGAATCATTATCAATTAAAAGCCATGTTTATGTATAAGCCTCGATTGTTCATGCAAAAAAATCGGCACAGGATCAAGAACAAAACTCACCTCAGGATATTCAAAATGATATTTTAGTTCTCCTATTGAATCTTTGTAACAAAATCTTGTTAAAAATGCCCAGTTCTGTCAAAGAGAGTGGGAAAAACGAGCGATTAGGAAGCCTCTTGATACGCTTCGAACCGAAACTCCATTTGTGTTCCACAACTGCCAAAAACAAAACTTCGAATTATTCCCAACTTCAAGCTACCTCTTTGGTGCTTAATGTCCCTTCTACAATCTTAGGATATGTACTTCTAATATGAAGTAACGTTATACAGAATGCTAACGGCCAACATCGCAATCCTGTCGCCATATTTTCCTTGAAGTAAAATATGGAAATTGAATGATTGTCCGTATGACAATCTGCGTGTGGGAGTCGCTAGGTAACCTTTCAACTCCAAATAAACAGTGCCGTGCAAGCATAAGGATCACTTGACTCCTCACATTCTGCCCCTAAAATCACAATGTGTGACTTTCACAACCTAAACTGCATATTTATGGAACCTTTGCGCTGGATAATTTCTTATATTTCGCCTCAAATTGAATTTAGAGATGTAGAAGTTCGAGAGTAATGAGCAATTAAAACAACAATGACAGTTTTTGTTTACTGCTGACGTAAAGTCAAATATTTATACATTTTTATACACAAGTAATGACTGCTTGATGCGAAGTGAACAAATTTTGATATTATTTCATTCTCGAATGTGTTCCTCCGCACTTGACAGAATCACATTTGGACAATTTTGCCAACTGAGATGACTAAATAGTCAGCCATTTTGTAAGAAAAGGGAACAATTAACGCAAAGCCGACATGTCACATAATGTAGAATTTAACTGGATTTAGGTATTTACAAGTATTTACATGTGTGTAAAATGCTAATGATTACATTTTCCCCCCTGAAGTCACGTTTTGTTGGTTTTGACTTCTTGTCAGTAACATCTAACACACGGTTCTGCCTAACCAAAATAATTTGTTTTTCGAGCAATCAGACTGCCACACGTTCATTTTCTTAGAGATTTGTTCGGTTCATAAAACTGTCGGGAGGGAAATTCTGCATTTCTTGCTGAAGTCAAGTGATTTAATTGACACTGCCATACGTAATAATAATTTTATTATCATTCTTCCTGATAGAAAATTTGTAGCGACAATGAAAATAAAATGATTTATAGAAGAAGTGAAAGGTTACAGTGATGGCTTCTGCTCATTTGTAATTTTGTTTTTTGTTCTAAGGATATAAATGCGCGTTTGAAGCCAGAAGTGACTACAAGATTAAAAAGTCCGAAAATTTCAGTTTTGCTCGGGCGTGCCGACCACACAAATATTTCCTTCCATATATTTTACGTGTGGTTTCCATTTCATTTGAATGTCCGTTGCGAAATTAAATTGTTTGTTTTCTGGTAATCATGACACTCAAAGCATCATTTCGTTGGAATATATTTGAAAGGCCTTATCAGTTGACTCGGATGTTCCAAGTCAGTTATGGTAAAATCCTGGGATGATGTCTTAAATGAAACTTTCGTAACCCGTGAGAAAATTAATGCTTTCTGTTATTTTGGGGCAAAAAAGGTTGTTTTAGGGTAGAAAAAAGGTCAGCTAAGCTTTAAGGAAAAAGACAGTTTGCAAAAGCGAGAGATAAGATACCTTACCTGAGTTTTTCTGCAACATAATTATTCGGATCAAAAATGTGAATCAACGAGGATTGTTTGAGGAACGAAAGAAACGAAATGCTTAGAGTTTTCCTTTTTTTCTTACCACAAGCTGTGCGCTCCCGTCTAAGAGGTCAGTTACATAATGAAAATATGCCTTACGGGTAGAGAACAAAACGCTTAAGCCGCCAAAAAATTTTTCGGTTTTATTGTACTACTTGAGAATGGATGAGGGAAAAAATATTCAACGACCCACAAGAAAAGTTCGTCATTTGTTTTTACTTAAAACAATAAACTCATGTCGAATGATGTGATTTGGATAAGAAAGAGAGAACTAGCGTGGCGCTCGTTCAGATATTATTCGGGCTTGTTTCCTCGTGCACTGGTCCATTATTTTCGCACGTGACGTCATGACGTGAATCACCGACAATTTATAGACTGACAATACAGCTGAGGAAATTTGGCGGTGAAATTGTTTTAATTCAGCTTCAATTAGAGATCACTGCTCGCCAGATTTGTTTTGCAATCGAATCCTCGACAATCGGTTCTAGTGAAGGGATAAGTGCGAGGGAGATTGTTGGCAAATTGCAGTCCCTCAAAGGGCTTGGGAACGAACTTGCGTCATCTTTTCTGGCTTTCGTTTTTCCCATTTGCGTATGATAACTTGATGGGTTCGTCGAGGTGATAAACCAGATTAATTAATCTGGGCCACTGCCATAACTTGGGGATGATACAACGCAAATCTGCGATTTCAAAGCTCTCTGTAAAACGGTCATCGCCCATATGACATCATTGCAATATTGACCTCGCATATTAAACAGGAAGACATAAATTATTAATAATGTGATGTTTTCTCGTTTATTAATCTCTCCCACCCATACGAGTTAACAAAATAATTTTATTATTAACTGAAGAACGGATGAGGACATGAATAAGTACATTTTTAATTTACAGACGTCCCTCAATAGTGCCTTTACGGGTAAGTCAAACTTCTAGAAATAGTGATTTGATTTTTCAAAATTTATTCATGCTTTTTCAGCTGAAGGCAGCTGATCGTGAACGAGTACCTCGCGCGTGTAGGTCAAGGTAAAGATCGTAATATATTCTGTTTTTTCTCTTTTCCTGCTTTCCTCGAACAGATATCACTGACCGCACTCTGAAACTTAAATAAGAAGGGAAAATAACTGGGCACATTTCGGTAGCAAGTTGCTCTATCGAGAGTCCTGGAGTCCGCTTTTATCCACGTGAACTGAAAAGGTATTTTTTTTCTGTTTTTAGTGTATCGCTTGTAATTTTTATGAGCTGAGTAAGTAAACAATAGGCAAACGTGATTCGTAAGCAGAATTTTTTTTGCAATGGGTTTGTCCTGATGAATTAGATCACATTTTCGCTGGCTTAGAACTGGTCAGTTCTTGGACGATGCGCTGTTGCTAAATGAAAACATGTTGCTTTTTCGGCAGCGTCCAAAGCCCGTTTACATGAAACTGGCAAAACACTCGTACATCAAATACGTTTGTTTTGATCAGCAACACGGACGGGTGAAAAGATTGCTTTGCGCTGTTTCGAATTGCGTGTGAGAAAAGTTATTCGACAGAAGAAAAAATATTTTGAAACAAAGAATAAAATAAGGCAAAACATGAAAACAAAACGCTAACGGAGTGCGTCACTCGCCCATATATCATCGCTAAAATTAACACGAACGTAACGTCTTCGCGTATAGCTCGCACACAATACGTACGCAAATTAAACCAGCTATATTTTTTAGTGTGTGTATGTCTTCGACTTTAACTCTTGAGCGTTCGGGATGTAAAACTAGACATCAAGAGTGAAAGAAATACTCATGTGATATTTGCCCATAATCTTTCAGCCCTCTCGTGACCGCCGTGTGATCGAGTTGCGGTAGAAAACCCATTCAAATCATGTCACTGTGAGTATTATATACGGGTTTTTTTTTTAATGTGTATTGTTTTTGAGTCATTTTAAGCCTACACGAGCCAGAAATGTCAAGCTCGGTACAGCTTAAGATTGAAACAGCATTGAAACTCAAGTCCACGTTGATATGTACATTTTTTTTTTATTTTCGTTTGTAAAATGCATGATAATTGCATGAAATCGACCCCATAAAGTAACAGAATTTCTTAATTTTTATGAGCGAATATTGCTGTACAAGGTGGTTTACATCTTAACGTTAAGACATAATATGGAGTCCTCTTAGGTTGGATTAAATTTCTTTGCCGTCGTGGAAGCTGTGTGTTTCTCTAGATTGCAAAACTTTAAGCGTTTTTGGAGGATTCGGATTTTTTTTTTCATACTTTTAATTCGCTGCAGGAGTCTTAAAGCACACTTGAAATGAAACGTATGAGAGTTCCATTTTTATTCTAATATTCACAGCTTGCTGGCTTGGCTGAAAACCACACGAAAAGAACGCTACGTCCCCAAAAAAGGTTAATCTGTTTGATTTACATTTAAAAATCTTGTTTAAGGTGGTTGAAAAGCAACGCTTGTTTCGACATACAGTGCGGGGGGGAGGGGTGTATTTTAATCAAATTTTTACTGTCACGATTAGTTGGTTGACTCTACGTAATGATCACATTATCATTTTATCATTATTTTAAAAGGAAATGATATATGAAAAAGTGATAGAACAAAAATTCGTTCTATTAAACACGGCTTACCATATGATAATTTTCAAAAGCTGTTTGGCCCTCAGAATAATTCATGATTGCTGATGATTGTCAGCTATTGACAAGCTTTTGTTTCGTGTAGAGCAGGAGGTGCGACACCAGTGCAAGTATATTTTTCGCTTTCTCGTTATTAGATCAACTTGAAGCGATCATGGACTCTCTTGGTCCTGTAAATCGGAAAGGATTTCTCAATTTCAAACATCCGTGCTGTATTTGTTTAGACACTGGGTCGCGATTGGTTGACGGTTTGTTTAGCTCTACAAGGCGTAATGTCACACATGTGAATGAGTTCAGGCGCTGGCCAATCAGCGTCGAGGATTGTCCCATTCACAGAGAGACAAGCAATTTCTCGGTTTATTTTCGAAATCTTCTATTCGAGAATGATCGCACGGTGTAGCTGGATCGCGATTCCCTTCCATTTGCTTGCTGATCGGTTTGTGTAGTGATTTCAGGTTTGTGGTATCGAGATATGGTCTTGTTTTTTCGCCGTTGGTTTGCCCGGCACATTGTTTTGATCGTATATTGTACATGCTACTTCAGTGTGCTAACACGTAAACTTTTTCTACGGTTCTGTCAATCGCGCGTATCCAAATGATAGCCTTATATGACTTACTTTTCCCACGAACTAACATTACGATGTTTGCGTTTTACAGGAATGTGGACCAAGAACTAAACGCCAAAGGTGAATATGAAATTTTTACTACGCGCTGGCTTGATAATCTAGGACAAGCCTGGGCCCATTGATCGACATTTTTTTGTTTCCATTCATGAGCGCGTTTATTGTTGTTTCTAACCATGACGAACCAGCCGACCAAGGTAACGTACAAACGAAATTAACAGCTTCAAATGAAGGTAAATGAAATGTTTTGTCGATTTTATGTGCAAATTCGCCTCCAACAAGAAATCCTATTTGTGGGTCCTTCAAAGAAGCTTGTCTTGTCAGCTGGCTCCGTAACAAATTTTTTGGCCACGTCGTATTCCCTGTTTCAAAGTTAGCGCAGCTTCGATGTTTTTCGCAGATTATAAATTGTGTAGCAGTTCTGTCAGATTTGCGGCGAAATCGGTGGATCGTTAAGTTAGTTTTCGGTTCAAACCTCTTTCCAACCTCGAATATTCATGTTTAATGCAATATCCAGATGTATCCGGTTTCACCTTGTTTTGCTGTGATGCAGTTTTTACATCGGTAAATCGATGTTTCCCTAGAAGTTGAAGGTTTTACTCCGAATGTCCTTTGCTTCGTTAATTCAGAGGAATTCAATTTTCCGCCCGCCTCCCAAAATAATGTGTAAACCAGGTTACGATCGAGCGAAAGCAATTTTTTTTCGCAGTTCAATTATATCTTATGATGTTGTGTTTGTCAATTTTTTTTGAATCTCTAATTAGTATAATACCACCGTCACTACATTTTCAAATGTCTTGGTTTTTTTTGGCGGAATCTTCTCAGAGTAACCTAGAAGTTTTGATGTACCTGCTAAACTAAGAAAATAATATGACCATCCACGCAAGTTAGGAATAAACAACAAAATGTATATTCATAAGCTAAATTTGGCTTTTCTGTATACATGGAACCGTTGATCGTTGCCGTAAATTTACTGGCTTTCATTGTTAACGGTTAGAAATGTTTTCTTTCTCAGAAAATATGAATCGTAAAGGGAGAGTTCGGCGTGGAAATCCTGCAAGAAAATCAAGTGAATATGGCTTTATCACGGAAGATACAAAGATCGCTCAATGTGGTAATCAAGACATTTTAAGCGTAAACAATCAGTTGCCAAAAAATTCGGCGAAAAGAAATCTGTCAAAAGAAATCGACGATGAATCGCATTGTAAAAGGCAGAACTTTCATTTACGGGAAGAAAGTGCCAACTCGGTCGGAAACTTTGACGGGGATGCTTTTGTTCCACCGAAATGCACGACACCAGCTGTTTCGTTAACGCAAGGTACTGATTTTAAAGCGAAATCTCCTCAGAAAAGAAAGAAAGGAGTTGATGACGGCAATTCAATCAAGAAGGCCGCGAGCGGGTGTGACGTTTCTGACGGCTCATCGTCAACCGTTGCTAGGCACTTAGCTTTTCTTGAAAGCACCAACGGTGCTAACAATTTCCTAGAGGACGAAAATACTGATAGTGCCATCTCAGATGAAGAATTTGAAGGAGCAAATGGATATGGGAAAGTTAATAATCAGCAAAAGACTCCAAAACGACCTGCCAGCCGAAACCGAGGAGAGAACATAGTTTCAAGGACGCCCACTCCCACACAACAGAAATATAAGAAAGGTGATATTGTACAAATGGAGAACGGAGTGCGGAAGAAATTTAACGGCAAACAATGGAGACGGCTTTGTTCGAGAGAGGGGTGTAACAAGGAGAGCCAGCGGCGAGGCTATTGTTCTCGTCACCTGTCATTAAAGGGCAAGTCCCTGACGAAAGGCATCGGAATTCCTGGACAGAAAAAAGGCAAATTACATGGTAAAGAACTTACCTGGGAATCTGGCAACGAAAGTGAAGGAAGTGTAGAAGGAGAGGTGTCGAGTAAAGGAACTGCTAACCACAAGGACTTAAATGATAAAGAAGCAGAGGCTGCGTTTTCACTCGTCTCACTGAGCAATTCAAGATGTGCCACACCATTTTCTAACCCTGCCACACCTTTGCCAATTTCACCTGGACCTGGCCAGTGTCAATCTCCTTCACCCTACAGCAACTGTTACAGTAATCGCAGTACCACCCCAGGTCAGCATCGGTCAGTTACACCGGTGAGGACCTGGGCCTCCGCCACACCCCGTTCTGGAAGGTCATCAAGTGCAGAGCTGCTCTCACCTTTCTTCCCAAATGGATTGTCATTATCAAATGCAGTGAGTCCTGATTCTGGAATTCTCTGTCGTGACGAGTCTGGAAGCCGTGCGAGTAACACTTCATCTTTAATGTCACCGTTACCTCTGCTTTCACCTATCACTCCAACCAAAAGAACTTTCTCTCCTATTTCGCCTCCGGCTGGTTCCTCCCGGTCATTTTCACCCATTCCATGCACTCCACCTGCAATATCTGGGAAGAGAACATTTTGTCCTGTGTCACTACCTGCGCCATCAGCAATAACCCCACCCAGAGACAAGGCAGGCAGGGTTATGTACTCTCCCATACCTGCCCAGTCGCTTCCTTTGACTTCAAACAGTACATTTGTACCATTTTCACAAGATACTAACAAGAAAAGTTATCCTGATCAGGAAAGAACTGGTGATAGTGAAGAGGACAATGTTAAGCAGTCTACGTCGAATTCTGAAACTGCTGAGGAAGACACTGAGTCAAAAGAGCAACTGCTAAAGGATAACGACAACTCAGGCAAAGCCAGCCAAAGAGACCAGCAAGATGGCAATTCAACTGAATTAATTCCTGAAGTACAACTACCTCCAGTGCAGGTCAACACCATTCAGATTTCTGTCTATCCTTGGCAGTGTTTGGTTCCACAACTGTTTAATGTAGCCGCAAACAGTTTGTCGCAGCAGAACACTTGTAATGTTGTTACATCACAAGAGGGACAGGAAAATGCTGATTGTGAGCAGAACAGAATGGAAAGTGCTAGTGACAGTGCAAATCATGGTAATGCAGGAGAAAGGAGGCTTGAAAGCAGGTTGCAAGGAAATAGTGGACCAAACAATAGGAAAAGAACACGGTCATTATCATTCAGCAGTCAAGACGAGGGAAAGCCTGCTGCCAAGGTGCAGGTAAGCATATCTTGAATATGTAATATAGCAATTTTTGTGTGAGCAGTCAATTTACTAATTACATGGTGTTTGAATGTGTGGGGCTAAAATTATTTACAGTGTGACTACTCTGACCACTTAACAGCAACAACAAACAACAAACTCTATTTATGCATACATTTACAATTTAAAAAAATATATATATATAAATGGATGGACAGAAAAATAGTGTAGATATTTGAGGTTATCCGAATGTTTTCTAGTCAGTCTCCAGTTATTTTAAGGTTTCCATAGATATTGAGAGCATATAGTATTCTTAAGAGAAGAGATGTGTACATGATATAATATGCAAATAAGCAAATTCTTTGCAAGTTGACCACTGGCACTTTAAAAGTTTTAAAATAGTTTCTAGTCAAAACGACCACAAATCTGTTGCCTTTGTAATGTACAGCTTGATTACATGGATAATTTGCTGGAAAACTATTGTTAACCTCCATGATTTTAATTTGTCAAATTTGTGGAAATTTTGTTGGGCAGCCTTGGCTAGAGTAGTTGCACTGTAAATCGAATGGCATCACAAATTAAATTGAAATCATTTTCCCTCTAAGTTGTGCTTTCCTTACCATACTCTACAACACATCTTCATTGTATATGTTGTGGTTTGAAATATATGTCAGAATGATTTCAACCCAGGTTAAACTTTTTAGAATGACATGCACACCACCCACCCCTCTCAGTCCCTAATCCTACCCTACCTAGATGTCCGCTAATGCTTTTCACTGCTGTCAATCATAATTACGACAATATAGATCTGTGCGTGCGCCAGGATTCCACTGTGCTATTGGGCCTCAAGGCGCTCAAGTAGTTTTACATTGGCAGCGCTTTCCTCAAGCATTCGAGTCTCAAGTGCAGGGACCCTGCTCATAGGTTGTTTCCCATCCCCTGTCTCTCCCTTTTCTTTCCACTGTTTTATCAATGTGACAGGTGCCCGCTTTCTCCCTTCTGCATGGGGGCTCATGGCTGGGTTGCCAGGATTTGCTAGCCATGAGAGGGGTCTCCATCTAGGAGCTGGCAGCCAATAGTGGAAGCTCCTGGATACCTCGGGCACCCAACCTCCACTTCACAAAACAGTTGTTAATTAACATTATTATAATTAAAAGAAGTTCCTCCTCCTGGTGGAACATTATCTTTCACATCTTCATGCCCATTGGGCCTTTTTTATTTATTGTAGGCATCCAGTTATCCATCAAGACAAGAAAAAGAACACATTCGTCGCCCAATGAATGCGTTCATGATCTTTAGTAAGCGGCACAGGGCTCTAGTCCATCAGAAGCATCCTCACCAAGATAACAGGACGGTGAGCAAGATACTTGGTGAATGGTGGTATAACCTTGGAGCCAAAGACAAACAAAAATACATTGACCTTGCAGCCCAGGTTGGTTCTTAAACTACTCTGGTTCAGAGACCTTTCCTACATTCCACTTTCGTGCATACAAACAATAGCACCAGAACAAGGTTGGGGTGGACATTTTCTGTATTTTTGTCCACCCTGACCTCAACTCAGCACCATTGTTTGTTGAAATTTGGGAAAGGTCTATTCTTATGCTACAAGGATTGGCCAAACATGTTTTTAGAGGAAAGATGGTTGTTGGTTGTTGCACATAGCTTAGTTGAGCAAGCCTCCTTGAGAGTCTAGTTTGCACTCAACGAAGGAAATAATGGGAAACAGGGCCCCATCCTCATCCTTTTTTGTAATTCAATGAATGTTTGGGCTGTCAAATTTGATCAGTGATTATTTCCATCCCTTGGACACTAATTCTTGTCAAGTGCTAATCTTTCTAAATGCTGGCCCATGCATTAGACAAGTGCGAGTTTGATCACAGAAGACGTGTGCTCAGTCAGTTTTTTTGCTTTTTTTTTTTTTCACAACATAAATGGATCAAAGTGGACCAGTAGTGTAGAGTTTCATCATGTGTGTCTGTCTAGTATTAACTAATGCATCCCATTCTATTTTTGACTCTCTAATAACTGGAGCTGCCTGTTTTTAGTGGGTGTGTCTGTATGTGATGGCTTGTTGCACTGGATCGACTGCTCCATTTGATTTGATTCCCACTCCTCAGGTCAAAGAAGCTCATTTCAGGGCATACCCACACTGGAAGTGGTGTACTAAAGACAGGAAAAAGTCACCAAGGAAAGTTTCAGACAGAACAGAGTCCAGTGATTCCATGGGTATGTGTCTATCTAATGCAAGCTTCAAAAATGTCTCCCAGTGTGGCGGTGGTCTGAACTGGGCCAGAGTCTTTGAAAAGTACTCTAACTTATTAACTTTGAAATTTTTAAATGAATTTCTCAATAAGTTTTGACATGAATTACAGCCAGTTTGCCCTCAGGTACATTGTAGCTTTGCTAGCATCATTTTTTTGTTTGAGGCTCTGAAAAGCTACGTGCTGCCTAGTATTCTCCACATACTTTACATTTTTGGTAGAAACCTACCTTCCCCATAGAAGGGAGGTTTTTGGCCCTTATCTCGCAACAATTTATTAGTTGTTCTTAAAGTAAAAGACATAAAAAAACGTACAAAAAAGTGTTTTGAAAGTTATCATGGCTTGAGCATGTCCTTACTCTAATAGTAGCTCTGAATTTCAGGGTATTGATTGTCTAGATGGAAGGGAACAAAGTTCTTGTCGAGTGAAAGGACATAGATCAACTTCTTTGTTAATTGCCACTATTTGGGTTCTCAAGATGAGGCATCCGTGTTAGAAAGTTCTCAATTTGCTCACCTGAAATTACGGCTTTGTACCCTTGTTATGGAGTTGATGTCGTAGGATCCTTTAGTCCACACTTGTTTTAGGGAATTCAAGGTGTGAGTTGACAGCTGCCAACACGCCAATAAAAAGGAAACATTGTGTTTACTCTAAGGTTTAGTAAATGCCAACTGCAATCAAAGGCAAGCACATGGAACAGATGTGATGTGTGAGCGCATGCACAGCGTAAATTAACATACTTTTTTCTCTGTTTTGACATCAGGAGGAGATGGTAGCGAATATCAAAGTGATATAGTGATGGGAAGTGAAGAGCATGAAGTAAGAAAAAGTGTGTTTGTTCTAGAAAATATAAAATAATCAGTAAGTGTTCACTGCCACAATCATTCACAGGAACTAACACATGTATCTGTTACATAATTGAGTTGGTCACATGTCATGTGCTTCACCATTACGATTTTGTGGTTTTATTGGTGAGATATTTTTAAACTCATCGTAAAGCGCTATTGGATAGTGATCGAAATAGCACTATATAAATAAAGTATTACTATTATTATTATTAACATGACAGGTGATTCACAGCTTTATTTACCTGTTGTCAAATTAAGTGTATATATTAGTATCGGCAATCATACTGTTTTGAGTTCAGTTTGGATTTAATTTGCACAAGTTAGTTTTTCATAAAGCTGACATTGCACGAGCCACTTCAGAGGGTGCAATTTCAGCTTTTTGAAACTCACAAGTGCAAATTAAACGAGAAAAACCATATAATATAAACTTGAAAAACTTTGCGTGGAGGAAGTGCCAGAAGATCTTTCTTGAAGCCATTTTTTCTCATTTGAGAAAACTTTTTTCAAAGTTTCCGCATAAAGTTTATAAAGTTTGGGGTGCCTCAAAAAAGCTGTTGAAACACTTTCCTATGGGTTCAAAATTTTTCAACAAACCTTTGATGGCAAAGAAGTGTTTGCTTTGCCCCATTAATATTCAGAGCATTAAAGTCTTTATGGAAGGAGAAGGGGTAGAGACAAACATGGTAGTTCAGCTCAACCAGGATAGTTGGCTAAAAAAATCATTTGGATTAAAAAAAAATGTTGGAGTTGCAACTGATCCTCAGAAAAGAATGTTTGGAGGGTAGTTGTTTGTGTACATTGTATGTTGATATCAGGGCTTTTTTTTTTTCAGGGTGTTTTTGACAACGATTGTGAAGAACCCTCAGATGCTAAGCCTAGACTGAGATGTAAGCGCTCACAGAGCACTCCAGCAAATCAACAGGAACCTTCCCTGAAGGAAGCTGTGCATCGGCCGTACACACCCCAGCCTCCTCCCCCAACACAGCACTCACTCTTTGAGCTGGCACAGGTAATGGGAACTGCTTCGCTTGTGTGAAGAGATGGTGTAGTTGCTCTTACTAGCATTAATTTACCTTCTTGCCAATGTGGTTAGGCTCAATTCTTCCATCTAGGAATCTTAGTTTGTTGCTCTTTTGTTCTTTGCTCATCAGTTTGCTGCAGCTTTTCTCCCTCCTAAAAAATGAAATTCCAATTCAGTCTGCATGTAGAGAGCTGAAAAGTCAGGGAATTTTATTTTGAGTCAGGGGAAATTGATATTTTGAAGAAAAGTCGAGGAAAATGGAATTAATTTAATATGGCTGATTTAATACCATTGAAGGCTGGAAGAAAGAATTGGGGTCACTGATCTCAATGATATTTTTCGTAAAGGGAGAACGAAAATTTGTTGAAAATTATCACAATGACTTATAATGAACAAGTGGAAGAAGAAGCCGCCACCAGACCTGACATTTTGCATTTCTTTGGCCTGGATCAGGGAAAAGTCGGGGAAGTTTGAAAAGGGATATCTGTGGCAACCATGTATTGTTATTATTTTAGGTTTTGAGAAATAGATAGACAAAGAGTATATATCATTATTGGACTCAATACATGACAGGCATATGGGAAATTAGCAAGTTGAATGTTTTTGGGGGTATCAATAGCAAAACATTTGTCTGTAGTTGAGCCAGCCTCTGAAAGGCTGTGTCAACAGTTAGTATGGAATTTTTAGGGGTAAACTTGGGACGAGGGCAAGGATAAAAATAAACACGGCTATTATCAGTAGGAAAGTTTTCATCTGAAATGTCTGTGTCATCTTAATTTCAGATGTGTTCCGAACTAGATGAAACCACTGTGCCATCTGCCAGACCACCAGTGTCCGAGGACAGACACATCTCATTTGAACAAGGGACCACCGATACAATGAGCGAATCAGAAGATGATGACATTGGCTCGGAAGAACTGATGTGCAATGAAAACATTGACGTGAATGACAAGGAGTCTGATGACTCCGATGATGAAGAGCTGACTAACAGGGTGTTTCCTCAGCAGAGGTTTTCCCCTGTGCATTTCACTGCGAGACGAAGCCAGACCCCGGACATTGGCAAGATCAGGTACTCACCTATTGAATTTCCTGTCAAGAGAGCAGTGACTCCAAACATGTATGAACAAATGATCAAATCATCTGACATTAGCATTTCCTCGAAACCACCTTCCAAAATGGTTGACTTTGGTTTCAGGGCACCGAAAGGGCTGCCTCATTCAATCAAAAGTACAGATAAAAATGAAAGCTCGTCATCTTTGAGTGGCCACTTTGTACGCCCCAAGCAACCAATGGGTAAGAGCCACTCACCAGGGCTCACTGTGAGTGGGCACTTTCAGCCAACAGGGTCAGTATTCAGACCAAGCCAGCCTTCCAGCGGTAATGGAAGTTCCAAGCTTAACTCATCTATCTGTGAGAGTCCTTCTAAAGCTGTTGTGAGCTCATCTGATGTGTCCCATTCATCGTTTTCTCAACCGGCACTGTTTCCCAGTCACTTCACGAAATTTTCTTCAAATGCGCACATGCCTTCAACAAACAACTTGGCAAACAATGCAACTCTTGGAGTACAAGCGAAATCTCCTGTTACTTCTTTCAAAGGCAACAGTCAAGGTGGACTGCCATTGGGTACCAGTGCCCCCGTTTCAATAGTACCATTTCCTGGCCAAAAGGATACCAGCCTCGCAAATTCTGGAAACTTGACAAGCAGGCCTCTAACAGGTTTTCAAGTGCCATCAGCCGCTACTATGTCCAGTCACGTGACTTGGCCAGGGGCTCCAGCGTCCAGTTCTTTGGCTCCTCTGACAGTGTCAGTAGCTACCCACACAGCTCCTCCGTTTCACCAACCTATCAAAAGCACCCCCGTTCATTCACCGGGAGCCAAGGGACTGCAGCTGAAACCCATAGCTCCCTTGCTGTCACCTCCATTGGTGGCCACTTCTACCAGTGGTTTGCACAGTGGGGAGAAGACATCCGCAAGGGTTCTACTGGCAAAGAAGCCCGCACCCCTCTCAGGTGCTGTTCAAACGGCTGGAAAACGAAATATGATGGTGGATACAAAACAAGCATTTCCGTCCCCTGGAGGGGTAGGGTATCATAATGTAAATCCTGTTGTGTTAAATGGAAATCACGGGGTCGTGTCGCCGCTTTTACAAAGCCCACCAAGGCCAAGGCAAGTTCCCTCCCCAAGAACGGCTCATGGTGTTAACACTGGTGTAGCAGTAAGACCAGCCCCACGGTCACCAAGACTGGCCACGCCCGACACTAACCAACTGTCGCCTAAAGGAGGGAACTTTTTCTCGGGGCCATATCCCCGAACTGAGAAGGTGGCGACACCCTCCACAAGCTGTTCATCTTCTAGAGAAGCAAGCCACACAGTCACAACAAACAGTCACAGGCAGCCCAGTAAGCCACAGCAAGCCATTTTTGAGAAGAATCTTCCATGCCCTGTTGATACACAGGCATCCCAACTAGTAGGAGATGGTGGCGACTGTAAAGGTCTGTCCGGTGACTCAAAGTCTCACGTTAATTCAAAAACCATCCTGAAGAGGTTTATTGCTGATGGAATGGAGGAGTAAGTTAACCTCTTTTAATGAACGTTCGCTTGCATTATATCTTGCCTCAGTGTTAGCAGACACTCTATAGGCTCTCATTAGCTTCCATCTTGAATACCGTGATGAGCAAAGTCTGGAAAAACGCAACCAACCGATTCCTTTTCCCTTATTAGTTTCTAAAGAAACTGCTGGGCTGCGTGAAACACCTGTTTCCTTTAATTCACAGTTTTGTTACAGTGTAACTGTTTATTAATTGAAAACAATGGATCACACAGATGGTGTACCGTGTATCATGAAAAATTGGTATTTTTGAAGTCTGTCTTGTGTAATCTGTCGTTATCTTCCTCATTGCCTGGTGATGGTTTTTAAAAACTTTTGTTTTCAGGTTTCTGTCAATTTGAGAGAGTATTTTTTTACATCGGAAAAGTGACTTATTCGTCTTAGGAAGTTAGCTATCTCTCACATAGTGAAGATGGTTTTTTAATTGCCGACAATAACTAAGTTTGCATTTGACACTTCAAAACATTTAAAAACATCTAAAACATCGTTGTTTTCCACAGAGTTCTATCGGAAGTAAACTTCGAGAGGCAGTTTGCAGAGCTACCCGAATACACACCTTACCATCGTCCAGGCCGCGATGTTAAAGCAGCTACCAACAGACGCGCTGTTGTAACAGGAAACACGCCAAACGCTGAAGACGACGGTGTGCCAACAGCCACTTCTGCGTCAGAAAGACCGTCTTGTGCCAATGGATTAGGAGAAGGAGGCCAAGGAGCTGGTCACAGAACCAGCAACATGCCAAGTCTGGAAGCTCTCGCAGAGGTCGCCGCCCTTGAGCAAGGTGGTGGTCTGAAGGAGGCGGACAAGGAAGACAAGGCAGAACCAAGCAGTCCCACCCTCTCCTCCCACAAAAAGCCAGTGGATCAGCGACGCAGTGTGGTCCTTCAGCTCTTCCAGGAACATGGGTACTTTCCTTCCGATGGCGTCACGTCTGTGTTTCAGCAGCGACATTCAGATTTGTTCCCTACCAAACCAGCGCTGCAACTCAAGATTAGAGAGGTCCGACAAAAGATCATGCACAAAACTGGGGCCAATAGCAAGTGAGGTGCGATTAACGTATCAAAATATAATCATTTATGTTTCGAATAGTGTTGCAAAGTTTCCTTAAACGTATCTGATGCGAACATGACCAGATCTTAATTCCACGTTCGAGATGTCTAATCTACTTCAATGTCTGAAAAATTTGTTCATCGATCATTTTTTTCCGCCGTAAAATTCGCTAAGGAAAGTTTGAAGCACTATTTGCACAATTCTAGAAGCTGAGACGCTACACCATTAGCCACGTTTACGCTTGAAGTAAATTTTGAAGGCTGTCTGAGAGAACTAATAACGGAAATGATAATATTCATAATACAGTTTGATCGTAAAAAAAGTTCTCCGAAACAAGTCTAAGACTAGATCTATTTTCTGAGCAGAAATCAATTTTCCTTGGACTGCATTGTCAGTAAATAGTTTTATGCTGTAAGGCTGTTTCCATATTCTTGCTACAATCGCTGACCTTTTTTGCAGCGACCGTAGTGGTCATATGAATCCGGCCTTATCAGTAAATCGCATGGTGTCTTTCCATTGCATGTCAAAATTGCACGTGCGAAAATTGCACGTCGTCATAAGCACACTGATTGGCTGAATTGTTAAGAAAGCCAATAGACAGACTTCAAAATTTGGTCTCAATTGAACCAAGACTCGAGTTTAGTCTATGGTATAAAATACTCATACTTGTCTACTCAAAATGTGTTCGAGTTGACACGGTTTGCTGTTTCGAAGTAAGAATACACTACAACGCAATAAACTCGTTCTGGTTTTGTAACAAGACTGTTAAGATTGTCTTAAAGTGTGCACAAAGTTTGGTTTGATGGACAAAGATGTTGCTCGCTGCAAGTGAAATTCATTTTATCAGAGTGGGTTATTTACTTCGCTTCTGTCCAGTCAGGCCCTGATGTTAACGTCGCACTGTTACGGTTCCCGCATCGAGGGAATTCATTCAAACATTATCTCAGTAACTTATAGGTGTAGTAATGCGATTAAACGGATTAAAACGGGCCGCTCGACTGAGGTGCCGATTGTCGATCAGTTCGGTTCGTTTTGAAGGTTCAGACCAAATGATATTCAGAGAACGAGTTGCTGATACTGGTGTTTTCGTAATTTAAAATGTTGTTCTTTAGTGGATCAAAACGAAGGTTGCTGGCTTTTTGATACAAGTGAAATGTCCGTCACCTTTTCTCGAGTGTTCCTGGTCGTTTTAGATCGTAAAGTGGTGTACATATGAGCTTCTTAGAGTCTCCTCAGAGGGTAGACCAATTAGGATATCCGCTAGTTTCGTTTATGTTCCACTCGTGGTATTTAAACAAATTATTCGTCATATTGACTTCGTTTTTGGCCGCCATATTGAATAGTGGAGCTCAGATCCGACGATTTGTTCCGAGCGACGTCGTCGAGAGTTTTTCGGAAAGTTCAACATGGCGTCCGCCACGTGTTTTAAGACTGGGAGTAGCAGTAGAGAGTAGAATAATTTTATTATTTATTGAGTTAACCGACTGGTGTGTATAGTTGTAAGATAATTGAGAAGGTTATAGAGTGATTTTATGGTGGATGTATATACAATGGTTTAATTTCCTTTTTATCTTACATATATATATTGCGAAATTTCTGTTATGTTTGTAGAACTTAAGTTATCGCTCTGGAGTGTACTACTACAGATGTTTAACGAATAATGCTTTCAGTATACTATTGTTCGCATGCAACACAGGGGAGGAAGTTACCTTTACACGGCTGATTCGTTCCACTTAGCAAATTTTCGCTCTCTTCATCCATGACATGCCAATTTCGTGATAAAGAAATACAATTTCTGAGCACATTAGCCAAGGCTAAGGTTTTGTCTTGCAACAAAAGTGAAAGTTGTACTTTGCTATCCTTATTCCTGTAAGTCGATTTGAAAGTATTTCTTTTTGTTTTTCTGTCCCTTCAAATCATAATTTTCGTTGAATGACGTTTGTAGGCTGCAGACTGCGGACTTCTTTACTAATATTTTATTCCCATTTCCAAAACTAAGAGCTATTACATTAAACAGGTTAACCTGAGCGCTATTTGAGCTAATCTGAGTGATATTCAGGCCAACCAAAGTGCTATTTAGGTTTAATTGTAGTCTGTAGTCTGTAGTCTGCAGTCTGTAAATTTCATATTGCAGGTTTTATTTTGATAGTGTGACCAAAGTATTTCCGTTACTTGGGTTAAGCGTTGCGTGACGACTCAAATAACAGCCGCGAGAGAGACAGCGTGATCTGGGCTCCTTAAAATTTAAGGAAATGCGCAGTAGTGTAAATCAGCTGTTGATTGACTGCTTGTTTTGAAAACAACCAATCAACGCCTCGGATAAAGCCTGCGAGTAAGCAATCCTGAACTGTAGAATTTGAAAATGCCATCGCCATTGCCTTAAATACGGACGCCTTTTCGTACTCGTTTCATTTTAAATAGTTTAAGAACTCCTCTAGAGTGGTTGTCAACCGAGTGTCGTAAGACTAAAACCAAAGTTATCACTCTAGCCAATCACAAAGGACGTAGACAATCCACTGAACCAATCAGAACTCCAAGTAATGGCATGTAGCTGACACAAAGCGCGGGAAAACGAGTGCGAGTGAGCTACAATTGGTTTTGGTTTTACTTCTGATTGGATGAAAAAGTGGCGCGAGTGTTTTAGACCAATCGTGTAGCGTAGTTGATGCAAAACCAATTATTTTTCGACACTCAAATGAAAACCGCTCCATTGAAAGCTATTTGTAGATGTTGCAAACGAGTACGAGAACGCAACTGTAGGTCACCTGGCAAGTTTGTTATCGCGGGAGATTTGTGACAGCCAATGTCGCGCAGTAACAGAGTTTCGGGTGGAGTTTATTAAACAGAACTGAAGTAAACGGTTGAATGGGATTACCGTCAGTTTTTATTTGCACTGCTTTTTTTTTTCTTCTTTTTATTTCTTTAAAAGCAAAGGAAAATAACGTACAGTTTTTCTACCGTTTTCTACTGAACTAATTTTGTAAGCGCATTCATGTTTTGCTAAGATGCGACATTTTTCTAAGACTCATTGCAGTAAACTCTGATCGTGACTGGTTTTCTATGCTGACTAGTGATTGGCCCATATCAAAACAGGTTTTTGATTGGTTCTCAAGTCCAGTTATTCCACTGAATTTCGTCAACATACTAGTTATCTGAGGATACTCTCGAGACGAACAGCGAATACCAGCTCGGACGCGAGGTTTCGCGCGTGTGAAGATGCGTGTTTTGTAATCCCATTCAACGCTCGTTCACCCTTTTTTCAGCTTGACTAAGATATACTTTTTTCTGGCTTTATTTATTTATTTACAAAAAACGCTTGGGAGGTCGCACGGAGTTAGTCTAGGAACGTCTTTCGCTAACTAAAGCGCAGTTGGAATACTTGGAAATTACCGACACACGAAAACATTTAAGTGGCCTTTTTTAGTTCTATTGCTCAGAGACAGACAGGTTTTTTTCGTGTGTTTGGGGGTGGTGTGATGTTGTCTTAGAGTCTCGTTGGTTAACGGAAGTGGAGAAAATGTGTCGAAAATTTCCAAAGTTTCCATTTAGATTTGCTTACGAAGCAAGGAAAGTATTTGAAAAGCAAGAGGGTTTTTTTTTATATCTATTAACATTTTTATTTACATTATATTAACCTCTTTTTATACACTATAGAGAGTGTTTATGGTGTGGTTTTGGTGGGTTTTTTTTTGTTGGTTTTTTTAACACTTGTGTTTTCCTTGCTTGGGGATACCGTTCTCTAGCATTTAGATTTATTATCGGGATACGAATGCATTCCGACGAAATGCGCCTTTTTTTTTCGGAAACGTTTGGTAACTCGCTTAAAGCATCGAGTGGCCAGTTGAACACTTTTAAGAAATCTCAATGCTAGAGAGCGATATCCCTCAAATAATGATGACAATTATAACTATTGTTAAACCTGTAATGAAAAACAATAATACAATTTTGGTAATCTGCTACAAAAAGAAGCTGTTTCAAGCTTGGACCGATGCGCGTTCTCAATCGGAACTTGCTTTGTTTCATTCTCTGAAATGGCAACTAGCAATTACTACAAAATATAAATGCTTTATACTGGAGCGTGCTTTGGTCGAGCGATTAAAGGCGATTTTACGAAAATTGTTGTCCCTAAAATCTTTTGGCATGGAGTGTGAAGTGCGGGCTCGTTGTTTCGTTGTTAAATGCTCACTCGCGTTTCAGGAGCCCGGGAAGTGGGAGTGGGGTGGGGTGGGGTGGGGGTACTCCCTGTAATGTCCTATATGAGGATGCTCCGCCCGAAAAGGGTACCTTTTTCGTGCTTCACGTATATAAAAGGGTAGGGATTGCACAAGTTGGGGCATATGAAAGGGTAGGTCATTTAGGTATGGCTGGTTGGCAGTGTCACGCCATCAAAAGTAAAAATCGTAACTATTCAATAAAATAAGTCAAGAAGCTGAGATATGAAAGATGATTGATATATGAATAACCTCGCCAAGTTTTAAGTCTGTACGGTTTTCCATCCGCGCGTTTCGGAAAAGTGTTTCACTGAAATTTATAAAGCTTTGTATGGTGTCGCCACGTCTGTGCCCCTCGGAGGGACACAAACATGGCGGCCGTAAAGTAACAGAAACATCTGTCATTGAGTTTTGCCATTGAAATGAAACGTTATTACTCTAGAGCTCCGATACATTGAAATTAATACTTTGTCTAGAGCAAGAACTGTTTAGTAAAAACTTGAGCAATAACTCATCTTTTGACTTACTCGACAGCCTTATCGAGCCGCCATTTTAATGTCTCGCAACGCATAAACTTGGAAATTCCGACGTGCTCCATTACATAACGAGGAACCCTGTCGGGCTTAAACGTTGCAAAACGTTAAGTTATTAGAGGGTCTTACATCTGATGAAACTAAAACTTCACAAGGATTGGTAATTTCTTATTTTGGAAATTGATGACGTCACATGAAAACCGGCAATATAAAAGGGACTTAACTTAAGGTCATTCCCCAGTATTGCACTGCGCATCCCTACTGCGCATAATTTCACGCGTGATTAGCGCGCGCGCATTCAAAAATGGCGGCTTTTTCTTTACAGCTGGACCTCGCCATAGAGGTAAATCGTCCTTTTCTCGCAAACTAGTATGGTGATCTATAATTTTTTTGTGTTGTTTTGAATTGAGTAATAAATTTCTCTGTGAAAAATAAATATGGACCAATTCTCAGTGTCGAACAAAAAGCAATCGTCGGAAACGTGAATTTAGCAAGCAATCGTAACTACAATCATGGTGTTATTATAAGGATTTTTATGTGTATAAACAAGGTGCTTTTGCTCCTAAACGAACATGGAGACCCCTCATTTTTATTTCAAAATTTAAGTTCCTATAATATAAACAATCGATAGGCAAAGTTTCACAAAAATCTCAGTGCAGGTTCTATTTCAGCGGAATGACCTTAAAATATTTCGAACAGACTCATCTTATGGCGGTATCGTCTAATTTATTAAGCACCACCTCGTTAAATTCATTTCAAGGGTTTAGAAAAGGGATGCACTGTTCTCAAATACGTACGTGAAAGGGGCACCTTTCTACCATAAAAGGTATACGAAAGGGATACGTTGGCTTTTCTGTCAAAATGGTATTGTAAAGGGTAAGGGGTTGGACCTCCTGGCGGAGCCTCCCCGCATAAAACTTTGTAGAGTCTCCCCAGGCCCAGGACGCGCGTTCGTTTCTGTGCGTGTACACATAAGCTAGTAACTGTTATACGCAGTCTCGTCCACAGAGACCGTTTTTTGGGGGGACTGGCCAGCCCCAAGTTTTGAACATGCGCAGAGGTGCTAATTATAAGCATTGAGCTGAAACGGCCAGAAATCCGTGAATCACGGACTGTAAAATTGGGACTGGCCAGAGACCACGATCTTGCTGCTGACCAAAAGAAAAGCATACGCTGGGGACGAGATTGGCATCGGGGACTGGGGACGAGAGCGAGGTAGGCGCAGATGATGTCCGCGCACGTTCTTTTCGGGCTCCTCACGTTTTTCCTGTCCAGCGCTGAGCTCTTAAATCCCATTTTAGCAATCCCTCACGGCATTCAAGCGTCGATGAGAGGCCGGAGAAGTCTTCGTTGTCAAAATGATACTGTACTGAGGCACTGATAAATTTAAAAACTTCTGAATTTTATCATCCAATCACAATAGCGGGTTCCATCGAGAGTACTCCAAACCATTCCCAGTTCCCCACGAAGATGTTTTTTTCTAATAGAGGGTTCATAGAAGGTCGCTTTGGGACGTTTTTAAAAAATGCTATTTCCATACATACATACATACATATATTTTATTTGTTATCAAATTAAAATTACGATTATAACATGCCCGCGGATAGCTGAGCTAATCTAGACGGGTCATGTTTGGACGAGTTATTAATATACAACTAGGTGCAACTAAATACAACTGAAGGTAACAAGAGAACTAAAGAGACTAGAATTGACAACAATGACTTAGGGTTAACTTATACTTAGGGTCCACTTAAGTTCTTTGTGTTCAGAAGTTGCATGTGTCTCTTCGAAACATGTTTCTCTTTTCTTTCTCTTCGAAACATGGTTTGAGGGTAACAAGCGACTTCAGTTCTATTTTTTTTGAATACCCCATTCCTTCTATGAAATGCGCGCACAGGGAGTCATGGTAGCTGCATGCAATGTCTTGAAGATGTCCTGCGCGTGATGCAGACAAAAACCATGATTCCCTGCGCGCAAGTCTCATAGGGTATATGGCCCATTGCCACTTTTGTTCTACAGAATTTAATCAACTCATAACTAGCCAGTGGTCGGTGCATCCAAACGTGTCACCAAATCCTCGATACCTGTGGTGCAGGTCGCCTGTCACACAGGCTAATCATGTATACGCAATTAAAAATGTATACTTAATTAATTGGCCACTCCCCATCGGGGCTTTTTAGGACCAATGTAAATAAACAATGATATTTAAATATTCAAATAAACATAACTAGGTTAAGAATCCCAACTGGCGGGAGGCAGACCAGTTGGCTATTTACAAGCCCAGCCGAGGAGTCGAACTCGGGGCTACCGAGAACAACAGTAGCTATCGGTCAGAACGAGATTTGAACCTGAGACCTACGGATTTCAAATCGGGCGCTCTAACCACTCGGCCACGCTGCCTCCGAGTGGTTAATCTAAGTCCCCTATTTACTGTGTTCAACCTTCCTCTTACAGTAGCCTCGCTATGCAGAGTAGCTTTCAAGCCCGGGGGGTGCTTTGGGAATTTCTGGGTGGGGATGTACCGCTGGGACTCTGGAACCCTTAGCCTATACCAGAGCTAGATCAGCTGAATTTTGCTACCCTATACTAGAGTAAACTCCCCAAGTCCCCCCATCTATCGACACTGTTGAGGCTGATTTGCGTAAATTTAAACTTGCCGATTTGATTTTTTTTATATTTTTGAGTGGAAATTCCTGGTTTCCTTAGTCTAAATAAAATCTTCAACCAACTAGTCAGTTTTGTGAAAAATGATACCCTTTTCTAGACCCAAACGCTCTGATTTATATACCCTATCCTAGAGTAAACTGCTTGAAAACCATGCCCTTCACAGCGGCACATACCTATATAGCNCCCCCCCCCCGCCCCGGGAATTCAAGATTACAGATATTACCTAAGTATAATTTTTCGCTGACCCCATCTAAAAATAAACGTAGACTTATTGCTTTAGTTGCCCTTTCTGGCTAACGCCTTGCCTGTTGACTGCTTAGTTCAACGCAAGTCTTTTAACCTCTAGCTTTCTATCGTTCTGCATTGTTTCATGTCTAATGTTTTTTGATTTCCTTTTTACTAGCCCAAGTGTTTCAGTCGCAGAGGGTTCAACTGAGGTGACTATGAGAATTGAAGGGATGGGATGGGTGGTTCGTGAGGATTTTTAACATGGTGATCAGACAGGGAGATGTTGATAGTCTGATTATCTCTTAAGTGATCCTTGAAATTGTGCATCCCTGGAGGTTCTCTGAGTCTTCTTCCTCCAGCTTTTTGTTCTGTTCTGATTTGTTCTCCTTACCTCTGCCATGGATGTTGTAAACTTTATTGTTAGCCTTTGTCTAAAAGAAAGACTAATATTGGGTTGTGTTTGACCCACCTACCCACTCCACCCTCTAAAAGAATTGCTACTCCCTCGTCTGCTTCATCATACGAAGCACTTTCATTGTTACGTAATGTAATGGGCCTGCAAGCATCGAGATCACCGAAACTTGGTGACGTTTTCTTTGCTAAATTGCTCATGCTTCACGACGCTTCTGAGCCACCTAACAAATTTAAGCTAAATTTCGGACCGCGGGGCAAAAAAGGACCGGAGTTGGGAATCGTATATGATAATTTGGTATTAACCTGTGCCACAAAAATATCAAGGTACTACATTGTCAGCGTCAATCATCGAACCAAAGTGATTTCACAACTGTCGGTATTTCAGGTACCTGATGGACTTTAAATTTGCTTTTTTGTTTCGGCAGGCGTAAATCAGAAGCCCTAAAACTTTGCAAATTGCTGAAACCTTAGAATAGATAGAAAAAAAAAAACGCTTAAAGAGTTGTGGCTAAGTTTAGTACGTAGACCTCAAGAATAGTAACCTACCAGTAACTTAAGCATATCATCTCGACGGTCACGTACTTTTAGGGAACTTTAAAAATGTCGCTTCAACCGGAAACATGTGAAGAGGCAATTTATCTTCAGCGCCGTCTGCCAAACGGACTAGACGCCATTTTTGCATTTGAATTGAAACTCCAATTAAAAACTTTTGATACAACCTTCCGTGAAAGTCCATGGCCGTAGCCAGTATGAGGCAAACCGAGGCACTTGCCTCGATCATGCTTTTTCGTTTTTGTTGTTGTTTTTTGTTTTTGAAGGGGGGAAAGTAAAACACTGCTAAATACCCAGTTGGAGAACTTTCCTTGGACATTGCCTCAGTCCGTGATAATGTCTGAAGTTTTAGTCAATACCTAACAGGGCATTAGAGCTAAGTGGATATATAAATAAATATGGATATCTTGTGTATCATGTTTGTTGGTTTTTATCTTAAGTTACGTAATACTCCTGTTTTTTATTGTTTGAAACACAGAGAGGACAAAAATAGAACGGTTTAGGTTGCTGTTACGTACTGAAGCTCTGAGACCGAAATGTTGTTATTAATTTCTTAATTTTAATCGTACGGCCTTTGCCTTTTTAAAACTTTTTATCTTCAATTTATATATATATTTTGAGGAATTTGCACGGAGCAGATATGTTATGTCTGGGTTATCGTGCCCTCAGGTTAATTATATTCTTTTACAGACTTCATGGCAAGTCTTCAACAGCAATGTTGTCATAGACTTAACCTCAAGTTTCCTTAAATAGCCTCACAATATTTACCGACGCCCACGGTTTCAATTCAGCGAGTTTAGTTAGTAATAGCGACCACCTTTTTGATCGAAGTTTTACGGAAGTGCTTAGAAGGGATCTAAGGGAGAGCTTTTGAATACGAGCCAGGCCAAGTGTATATTACAGTCCCGGGCTTAATCCTGTTTATTATGCATGGAGTACGTACAGGGGTGGAAAGATATCAGTTGAAAATGAGCATCTCACGCAAGCAGTGTTTATTATTATTTTTTTAAAAATTTGTTTTCCTTAAGGCGGTTTGGGTTGTGTAAATTAGTTCATAAAACTTCCGAATTAGATTTTGCTCGTGGGGACTTACGTAATGAGATTAAATCAGTCAAAAATCGTCAATGCTACACCACTACATTTTTATTTACATTTTTCAGACGTTTGTGGTCATGTAATATTGACTGCCGAGTGAAAACAAACAGCAATTGCTTGTTTGTTATCAAATCTAGCGCGAGCATGGCTCCTAGTCCTCTTTGTTTTCCAATTTAGCGTTTCTGAACTGAGGGCGGCAGATTTTCCGTTGCGGAAAGGGGGAGGGGTTTATGGAACAGAGAAACTTACCAACGAAATGGGAAAATGGAAGAGTGAATTAGGGAAAAGGCCACCGTTCTTTCAATGAACCAATCTAATTTTGTCATTTCAACTCCAAATCTTTGAGTCTGGAATAGTTTAGCTTTGCACTAACGCAACCAACTACCTTGGAAAGTGACCCATTGCGTGACCACCCAACAAATAACAGTCACGAAGAAGACTAGGCTCCAGGTCTCCTTTCGCGCGCCAGTCAATTAGTCAAGAGGCGCGTAGATTGTTTCAGACATGTCTTCATTAAATCATGCGCGCTATATATTTTTGGACCAGATAGGAGCCCCAAAATAGCTTAGCTCGGCGATAATAGAGATGCTCGTAGACAAAACAATATCCTGTGAAAGAGACAAACAAAAAGATCAAAGAAAAGTTTATTTCGCCGTCCTAGCATGAAGAGTAGGGAAAAAATGAAATTACATGATTCAATATTCATCCCGCTTATATTCTGTATTTACTTTTGCTTGACACTTTGTAAATTGCGTCTCTCAGCTCAAGACTTTTAATTATTTTGTTTTCCTTTTGGAGTTTGATTTTTGGCATTTACCATTTTGCTTGGAGCTTAGACAGACAAGAAGCCAATGCGATAAACTCGAGGAAGACTTATTTGGTCCTAGAGGTCCTGAATTTTCTTGTATTTGAATTGCATTGTACAACAAGGTGACATTTATGCTAGTTTCCTTCGCTTTGGCACACTTAAATGTGTGATTTGCATGGCAGGGGGCAAACTAAACCAAGACCACTCCACAAAGAAAGAAAATAAAAGTTTAATTTTATTCTAACTTTTGTTTCCCAGATACAATCAGTGACGATTGACAAGGAGTTTGGTTGAGTACACCACCTTTAAACTTTCAATTCACAAACCTCGATGGGGTGTTTGTAACAATAGAATTACCTAGGTACTCCAGCTAATAACAAAGAATGAAATAAAGTTCGAATTGATTGAAAATAGTCCTTGTATATTTGGGGGTATGGGCCGGCGAACTTTTGAGTTTATAGTGTGCAAAGATTGTAGCGTGCGGTGAGAATAGATTAAACAGTCTTCATTTTGTACGCTTGCAAAAGGCAGTCAGTTATTCTAACGGTGCGTCAAATGTGCCATGAATGCTTAGGCAACAAGACAAAACAGAAAAAGTGGGAAAACTCGTCCAACTTCGGGTGACTGGTAAAAATTGGGCTTGAACCCACAGTGACAGAATCGAAGTGAAGCCCTCATGATGTTAAGATACAAAGATTTCATATAGTCTAGTCATTCCACATTTCACATCATTTTTATTATTCATTTGATTCTTACACAAAAGCACAGCTGTAGCTAAATATTTTTATAATGAGGTTTGTACTTTTAAAACACGCTCGAGATTTACACCAGCAAACGGTAAAAATAAATTCGCTACAATATACCACATGCACACGTAATTGTAAAATGGCGTCTTAGATGCAAAAGTTGTATGAGTTGACATAGCTTCGCGCCCTCTAAGTTACTATTGTTGCAGTCTAAATGCATTGAAACTCCTGTTGACTAACGCAAGCTAATATTTAAACAAAAAATTCTTTGTTTGGCCACGCTGGAGCACTGTTCTCTTTTAGTACAGCACACGTGTACCGTAGAGCCGAACTTGTGGCGAAAATTCCCACAAGTTCGGATCTACGGGTTCATGTGAACTGCGACAAGTTCACTCACTATTGTACTCCAGGGTCTTGGCCGTTTTAACTAAACAATTAAGGCTTTTATGAGGAAATTAGCGTATAAATAATAGATTTAATTTGTTCGTGGACGAAGAAAAATGCAAGTGAACGTCCATGCTTCGTAAAGTGCAGCTGCTCCGCCTAAGACACTACAAAATGTTTGCTTCCTTTTGTAGACTTGATTGCAATGGGAATAGAATAGCTTGATAGGTAAGAGACGTGAAATTTTCTCTATTTCCGCTCGAATAAGAAAAATAATGTATCAAATACAGCGAAATATCTACCCGTAACTATCTCCTGTCAGTAACAACTTTTTACGTTACAAGTAAATAACAATGTCTTTTACCCGCCGTTGTAATATTTACATTAAGGTTATAAGAAAGTCAATATTCTTATGCTTGCAGGTTTCAATTAAGAATCACTCTAGGTAGATTGGTTTTTCCTCCTTACGTTTCACATCAGATATTACCCCCAGACTATACCGTTATGATGTTTTATCTTCAGATGTAAGCTGAAATAAATTCCGATCTTGCACGCGACGCTAAATAACTCTTTGCGGTTTACCAATGCGGCGTTAAAAGCGAATTCTCAGTCACTTCTAGGTTCAAAGTCGGTACCTTTGGGAATTTTCATATAGAAAGATACTTTGCTATTTCAAAAACATTCACCGTGTCCCTGTCTATGATAACTTCAATTGCTCTCCGCTTGCAAAGGGGCGAGGTTAACGCTACAGAACGGAATTACTTCTGACAACCACTAGGGCCTTCGTCTCAATTTGTTCTTCATAGAAGTTCTGCGAACTACTGAAATATAGAAAGAATGCTGACACGATTTCTGAAGTTTCAGAACACCTGAAGCCTCTGAGAAATAGAAAATTTCAGCTGTAAGGATTTGCAGTAAGTTAAGACATAGCTTTCATTTCTTGCAGTCTTTACAAGCTTCGTTGTCTGTATTTGGTATCGATGGTTCAGCAACAATCTCTTCATCAATTATGAAACTTTCTTCTAAACTGTTGTTTAGATTTGGGAAACAGTTTCTCGACATTCAAGCACATCCACAAACAGAAAATATACAAAAAGTTTTGACCGCGTTTAGCCATAGTTTCCCTGACAGACTTTCCCACAGACATTGCAGGTAACCTTTTGTAGAACCATATCGTGCAAACACTTAAAACTGATGAATCAAAAGAAAGACATCTAGTCGAACAATCGATTTAAAAGCCGTTAAACTAACCTTTATAGCAGGGAAGAGTCTGCGACACAAAATAAGTCCGCAGCACTCTACTTCACCACTACCCTTTAGCTAAGCCCGAAAAGCATCTAAGAGAGCTCCGTCCATATTAGGTCACAGCTGTTTTTACACAAACAACTATTATGGTATGCCCTCTACATGGGCGTTTCTTGTACATTGTATTCTTTTTATAAAGTTTGCTCGCTAGAAAAGAAATCTATTCAGTGGTGAAGCCATTTATAGTTCAACTAAAGCTGTCCCTAAGTGTGTTTGTAGTTTCGTCTTACAAGAAAGAACCTCTGAAGTCTAGCGGTGCCCACCTTTGCTTAATCACAATTAGATAAAAGCACAATTTATCAATTAAGGTACCTCATATGTTTGGGCTAATTCAAGGATAGCAAGGATAAATACAAGACCTCTTCCACTCAAGATTTTTCCATTACAGCTCAAGTTGTTTCTAATTTAGTCCAAGACATTTGGTTAACATATCGTTTTCACAACTGGAGGTAAAGCTTGTAGTTTTGTGCGTCTGAGCGCGCCAAACCGTTCAGAAGTTTCTGACTTCTGCTCTTAAATAAATAAGCTTGAGTGTATTGTGCTTCAGAAAAAGAAAACAGACCACATATTCCAGATGAAGAGAAGAATATGTTTAGTCTCCTATGCCTTGAGAATGGTTCTATCTTCACGATATAAATGTTTTAGGTTTGCCCAGAGGATAATGGATTTGGCCCATGCAGTAATCTGTCTTGCTCAAAAGATGAGAACATTTCTCTCAATTTACCTGGTTATTGTGAAAATTAAGAAAAAGAAGACCGCTTAAACCTCTAAAGGTTAACGCTGAATTTCTCAGACATGACTGACGAACTATTACCCATCTTTGAGAAATAAACTTATTACGAGAACTGATTTTAAACGCTGCAGACACTGCAATATTCAAACCGATACAGGCGAGTTGTTTTCTCGAGAAGACGTCGAAAGGTCCAAAGGCTGTCAAAAGTTTCTCAGTTCTCTCCGATTGTAAAGATCTGAGAGACGTTTTCTGCGTCCAATAATCTGGTTATTTCGCTCTATTAAAAAGTCAGAGGCTTCGCAGACATATTACTGAGTATCCCTCTTTCTTCTTCGAATGTTATTCGTCTGATTTGTTCCAGACTGTTCAACTTTACTTTCTGAAGAAGGAGACGTTTATAAAAAACGAACTCATCAGCTTACATCTGCTTTGTTTCTCCAAATTTCTTCTCGGGCAATAGAAGAAGGCAACCATAAAACTTCACCTTAGCCAAAGGGCGAAACAGACTTGTCTCGTCTCGATAGCAATTGTTTTAAAAAAAGAAATAGTCTTTCCACTGACAAGTCAAAAACGCGAGTTCTCCATACAGACAAAACGCTCAAGTTCTGTTTTTGCGACTTGGGCGTCAAATTAAATGGCTAGAAATGAATGTCTCGTATTTGTTGAGACGGATTTACGAGCGACTGCCTTTCCACGACCTCGAGATTATGTTGTTAGTTATAAACCCATTTGTAGTCGGCCAAAGCAGATACCTAAATTACCCAAAAATATCCTTACAGCTTTCCACACACAAGCAATCTTCTTCAATTCCCAGGAAAAAAGGCGAAAAAACACATCCGGCATCTACAGTCGAAAGCGAAATTATACAACTGAGACCGCCGATTATGCTATCTGAAAGATCAATGGTTGAACTGAATTCACAAAGATTCTTTCGTCGGTAAAATTGCATCCCATGAATTTGAATCCACTAAAATCATTCAAGAAAAATTTCAAATATATCCTCACTTATCCTTAGTCCAGGTTCTTTGCTGCTATTGAATTTGGATCCCACAGTACAGAAAAAAAATTCGGGCACACTTCTGTTCACCTTAACAGTTTAACATACAAGCTTGCATACAATTAAGTCAGCTGGGTTCCAACTTCTCCATCTTACAGATAATCTCTATGTCCTGGTAGCAAGAAAACGATGAAATCTACTATTTGAAATTTCAAATTTGCTTCATTAGACTCGGTCGTTACTCCCTAATAAAACTGTTTCAAAACTAGGAGTGATAAACTAGGCAAATGAACTGCATTGCCTTCAACTGTCTAATGCATGAATGAGACATCTTGAAACAAAATTTCTCTTAATCATTGTAAAATACTCCAATCGTTTCTTGCCTTTCTAGCCTGATCTTCATAAAAAACAAGGGAATTTTCATCCAAGTTTTGAGCGTTGATTGTGAAACAAATAAATCTAGTGTACTCTTGTAAGGAATAATCGAGGTACAAGACATTAACCTTATGTTTGAAGTGGGTAGTCTGTAGCTTTTCTTGTTGATGAGAGAAGCGAACCTACACCACATTTATCTTTGAAGAAGAAATTTAAAAGCCACAAATATTGCTAACCCATATGTAAAGAGCCTACTATAGAAACTTGTACAACAGAAACATGTAATTACTAGAAGAAGGGCCCACGGTTTCGACAAATACACTCATTAAATTTCTTTACGCTTCAATGTCCAGTACCAGACGACCATTTTGGGATTACAAGTCTAGCCTCAGTTTTCAATTCTACTGACTGGATTTTACACAGAGATTTAAATTAAAAAATAACTGAATTGACACATTGTTATTGTGTAAAATCTCCATGCCTCCGCGCGTGGAACCGGCGAAGGATTGTGGAGGCAGACAACAAGTTCCAAAGTTAACTGTCTTAATTTATCGGTCAAAGGTAGCTATATTTGGGAGCTGGCATCTTGTCTTTCTGATAGAAAAATATACTCTCTAATAACGCAAGTTCTGTAGAATATAACCAACAAAATTAAGCTAGCTATAACAAGAAAATAATATTTCAAGTACAGTCGGAAACTACCAACATCGATTTGCGTGCATGAAAGCTATTGCTTACCATCCTTAACAAACCACGACGGTTTAGTTTAGAAAACAGCCTGCTTTGAATGAAAATGTCCCCAAAACTGATTCTCTGAGCGCAGAAATCATATCTCTTGATAAGAGTTTTAAGATTTCTAGTTCCAAATCATCGACATTCGAAAGACAATTAGACTATTTTGCTTGCCGCGTGTGTCTGTTTTCGGCGTGAACCAGACTAACTGTAAACACGACGGGGACCTCGAAATGTGTAACATAAAAAGCTTCTTAAACGAGCGTAAGCTACCTTAAAAGCCTTAAAAAACTACCTTACGGTTTACTTCCATGCTGTGTCCTGTCTATAACCAAACTGAAAAGATTTGCGACCGAAGGTTTAAGCCGATCCAGCTACTGAAATCAACACTTACCTCCAACACAATAGAAATGATGGTCGTGTTTTCAAAGCAATTTACAATGAATCTTCTTTAACGAAATTTTACGATTCAGATCTGTTTTTGACACGATTTAGAAACATTTTAGTGAAGCGAGCCGACTACCTTCCACGTGTAAACTCCGTTGCCACATGGTTTGCTATCGTGATGTGGTTAGTAAAACATGCGTGAGGAATGTTGACTGAAGGCGAGAGAAAAACGTCGAGCAATGTACCCAAAATTCAAACGGTTCTAACTTCGATCAGGCCTTCCAATTAAATCCTCGAGACAAGTCTTTCTGGTAAAAGGCAGCTAAGTTGATCTTTTGGAGAATCAGTCGCTAAATACCTGAAAATTTGTGAGCGTGAATACCGACTTTCTAGGTTGAGCCTCACGTAACGGCCGTGTAGCCACACTTATTCTCGAGAACAAACCGCCCCGCCCCAGGAGAGACAGGCACTATGCAAATTTCACGAGTTCCCGGCTGTACTCAACTGACAAGGGGCGCAACATGCGATCATTAAATTAATAGAAATTTCCGATTATTTCGTTAACGAGACGATTGAAAATAACCTGACGGTAGATTCAAAAATGTCCTTCACGTAAGAATAGCGAGCGCACGTTTAAGTTTTTCTTGCTTGGAGTAAGTTGGGTCAATTTGATTCGAACTAAGTACAGACACCTCGAGGTCACCTCGAAGAAACTGGTTCCCTGTTAGGTTTGAGCCTTTGAATTTGTCGAAGGCAATGAAGAATTATGTCTTTGCTTTTAGCTGACAAGTTAAGAATACCAGTACATGCTGAAGTAGTTAAAGAGTAGCGAGGGAAAGTTACAACTTAAGAAATGTTCAAAGGAAAAAAACATAATCCAAACTGAGCTAATGGTGAACTGTGTACAATGTGAATGAGTTTAAGGTCTTGTCTATTCACCAGTTGAAGTCTTCTTTATCTGTTCCTCTTTTGATATACCTGAAAGATAGTGTAAAAGAACCATGATTAAACTTAAAGTTGTCGCATCAGTAAAGAAGCACTGCCTAATTATACAGTTAAATTCATCTTACTGTGTCAAAACGTTATCACCAGGCAGCCAAAATTATGGCTTCTTCACTGTCAATAAATTACCTTGTTTCGTTCATAATTCATACATCCCTGTCTTTGAAGAGACACGCTACAACTCCTAGAAAACTATATTACAACCTGTACCTTTTTAGAGCTAAACTGTCAAATAAAAAAGACAAAACGATTTATACAAAAGTAAGTGAGAATTCTTCCATTTAGTTCTCAGTCAAGAAGCTAGCTCCTTTTCAGTTGCCAAAATTTACCATTGAATTCTCTGAGTTTTTTGAGATTCCAAACACGAGCCACATTTGCCACGTTGTTTAGAAAACGAGTGAAGTCTTTCTTGACTGATATGAAGGAACAGGAGTCTCCAAACCATGGCTGTTTCTGTTGACTTGGGGAACATAAGTTGTTAACCTGAAGTGGCTTCGGTTAAACGATGACTTCACTGCCAGAAAACAGGCTCTGTGGACTTACAAAGGCCCATTCGGTTTTCTTTTCCTCTTAGATAAAACACAAACTGATTATTGAAGGAGAACTATTGAAACTAAACTTAATTTCTGTGTTGTTTACGTGAACCACGAAAATTCCTAACCTCGATTTTTTTTTCGATGTTGAACACTACCGCGCAAAGCCATATGCGGTCAACAGAGCTTTGCATAAAACCTAGACAGAGCGAGACACAACAGCAAATACCTTTCAGAACGGCAAAATAGATTACCGAAGAACAGGAGCTGTGGTCTCCTTCATGATACTTTCAAAGTAATCGATGTTCAGTAAAGACAGTGTCGCTCGCCTCGAATGAAGATCGGTTCATGTAGTCGGATAGGTACAGCGGATGGAGGCAGCGATTCGAACTCTGAACCGCGTGTCAGACAGCCGAGTGTCGGTAAACTTTTTATGCAAATCGCAAACTCTCTTAAAGGAAAAGAATTAGAAAGAGTTTAAGCAACACTAGCATTTAAATTGATAACAATACAGCACATAGACTGCTTACCTCTTTAATCCGAGCAGGATTAATAGCCCCTGCGTGTCCCCTTGAAACATAGCGTGCTCGGAAATCGATTGATTTCCCGGTCTTGTCGGCTGGTATTCGTATTGTTTATCTACAACACAGACAGAAATACATTAGCACGTTAATTTGAAACTAGGGCATCCAGCGAGAAGGCACGCATACCTTGGTTTGAAATAAAACGTAAAATACGGGGTAGGAACTCACCAATTGATCCGTAGCAGAAAGAGACTGCAATGGGAAATGCCTTTGAAAGCACTAGCAGATCTAGAACTGCTCTTCAATACAACGAGTGAAATTCTAAGAGTTACATTTCTATGCGATCTCTGCGTTCACCTCCAAGAATTTTCTTTGCTCAATCAAAGCTAATTGTTTTATATCTTCACTGCCAAACGCCTGAATTATTCGTCCGTAGTTGTCGTATACAGAAGTGTACATTTTTGTACAATGTTTAGTGATTGCCTACATATTCATTTCCCATGTGCTTATTACGGTTGCCATAATGTTACCGATAATATACCCATGTTCTTGCTTTCAGCTGGTCGAAGCAGACTTTGAATACAAAGCTTTTTTCTACAAATCTCCGAACTGATAAGAGAATCTCAGACAGACAGTTAGGGTTCGATTTCAACGACTCTGTCTCAAGTCAGGTTTGGCTACTCGACATAGCTGTTACAAAGCCATAACGGAATCACTTCCAAACCCTAGAACCAGCGACAGCAGTGATCTGTGTGCAGTCAGAACAAAATATCGGCCAAAACTGATCATCACCAGCTTTTCAAAGTAATCTCGCCGCTTGTAAACTAAATTCAGACCTTGCTCCGCCGCCTGTTCCACAATGTGCAAACGAATTTTTTTCCGCGTTTGCGCAAGTGCAAGAGCAGAACTTCCTCGTAGCGTTGTACATTTCAACCGGTGCTTTCTTCCTAAATCACGCGAGCATAAACAGAATCGGCGTACACGCCTGGCAGTAACAAGGTTTTTCAGGGCGCAGAAAAATGCATATTTCTACAAACTGATTTCTCGATATAACAAGGAAATTCGAGACAGTCGCTATCCCCGTCTGAAATGTGTCCCTGAAGAAATAATTTCACTCAGCGAGTCGATAAACTGAAAATTCTACAATACATTCGATTTGATACCTTGATCCACGGGATTCTTTTTTCCTTAAGGAGATGTGACGGTCCCGTCCTCCAAAAAAATTGCATTCTCGTCTTCCAAAAGCCTTCGGCAATCAGCGGACGGACTAAAACCTCTGTCTGGGTAGACAAATTTATGCAAATTTCTGTCGATTTGCGATTCAAATACCTCCGTCCAATTGACTCCTTGTTGTTACTTTACGCGTCGCGCTAACAAAGCGATAACTCGGTTCAGAAAATGGCTAGGATTTTGATGCATGGGTTCACGACTCCGTTGCTTTCCCAGACAGGGAAATTTGATCGCTTTCAGCGTGTTCTATTACTCGCTAGACGTCACGGCGAAATTCAAGTGTTTAGCTAAACAAAACTGATGAATGAAGAACAATGCTAGTGTCTTTATTTTGCAAAGACTGAATGTCTGTGACACTAAGTTAGCGATCCTAACCCTAGAACCTTTAATTTAAACCGTAATATTACAATGATGTACACATTGTTTTCCATGAGGGATGTTACGGAGCAATCGTGACGTAGCTAAAACAATATTGCTTCCGGTCAAAGTCAGCTCACGAGGAACGAATACAATACTACAAAAGTGTTCCCAGACGTATGGCTTTGCTGGTCAAAGGTATCTTTCTTTTATGAACTGTCGTCGCGTAAAGGGAAACCCTTAGGTCTTAACGAGGTCGATTCCATGGAAGATAAGGTTCAGAGAGCGGTTTAATTTTCTCAGCTTTGTATTTTCCTTTCATTAAAACTTGCTTCATTCAGCGTTTATGCGTGACAGTTGTATTAATCACATGCAATACTCTGCACGCTTATAACGGTTGGTAGACTTTCCAATCACGCAATGAAATGTAAAGTTGGCGTGATGTTCAACAAGCTATTACATAACAAATGCTAAGCTGTCAATCTTTCGAGAATGCTCAGAGCTTTGTTGGGTTTAGTAAACCCTGAAAGAGACTCGTCGAGGATTCAGTAAGCATGGTCGGGAAACCATTTCAATGCACCCACACTAGCATGATTGTTCATAGCACAAGAGCCCTTGAGCAGCAGTTGTCATGCAAAGTGACTTTACCATGAAAGTCAATCATTTTCACGTTAAAATGACAAGCGAATGAGCTTTATTAATAAATCTTTGCTATCTTTTGTCTAATTAATTGCGAAAAGGACAACACAGGTGTGATTTTTTTCAGACAGCTGTGTTTGTTCATCGTTGAGTATTCAGCACATAGAAGGCGTCTGTTTGGCAATTGTCATTGCGTCCCAAACGGGAAAGCCCGTAAAAATATCGATTTACGCCCTAAGCGTCCCCTCCAGTTTGAGCGTGGCTAGCCGCTCGTCTTCAATTAGCGCGCCCTATACCAACAGCATTTTAAAGCACCTGACCTGTTTCTACGTTATATAATCGGATTTTACGGCTTCCAAGTGCACTAAGGTCATCTGTCGGAGGTTCACATTCCATCAAAACAGCTCGCCTTATACCCACATCACAGAAGAACTGGTCTTCTTCTAAGTGTCTCGACCGTTTCTTCGACGTGAGAGCATAATTCCTTCAAACGAAAAATCTTCTGCTATTTTACAGGCGAGATGATTTGGTGTTAACTCAAGAGAGATAGAAAAGAGGCTCTTAGAATTGTGTTAAAACTTTACCTGAGGAAAAAAAAATGTTTTAACATGCATGCATTGTGCATGTTTATGTTTCTTGGCGTTTTGTTGCATTTCGTGTGACTCGAATATTTTTCACGTGTTAGGGCAACGAGCTGTGACCAGACAGAAATCTAGACAAGGCATGACAAGGAACACGAGTGGAATAAAGTCAAAAAGGTATCGTACTAAAACATAGCCCTTAAATTACATGCAGATGTCGATTAATTTGTTCCGGTAATTGCAACCTTTGGCATGGGTCCATTTTCCTAGTCTCCGTAAGGGTATTTTTAAAACGGAATTCGCAAACTGCAAGTGGCCGCGCGTTTTCTATGCCAATGCAAGGTGAAGCAAAGGTATATCTTTTTTCCCTGCTGCCACCAAATACTGTCTGCAAAAAGATCTAGAAACGCCTGGTTCCTTTGCGAGGGGACATCGGTCTCTCGTGAACAGAGAGGATGGACAAAGGAAAACGTCGGTAATTTACATGAGGCCGTATCTAATTGCGTCCGCAAGTCTTATGTAAGCCAGCATTACATAACAGATCGAGCGCTAATGATGGTGACCTTTTTACCTTTGCCGCGAAATTTCCTCAGGGGTCTCGCCCGTTGACAAGATTATGACACCTTTGAAAATGTTTTTTCTTTCATAACTCGGCCGCTTTTTGAGATTTTTAATGTTTTTCTTTTGGAAACACTAGATAAAATGACGAACTTAAATTTTGTCAAATAAAAGAAAAGAAACGATTTTTTTT